TCAGGCTGTATTTGACGATTTGTCTGGGTCATGTAGTGAGGAAACTGATGTCGGTACTGATACTGATGCAAGTAGTGAACGTTTAGAAACAGAGACGGCCGATGAGGATTTTGGTAGTGATGAAAGTGAGGAGTCTGAGGTTGAGACTACCACTCGTGCACGGCGCGGTACTGGAGCTCGTGCCAGAGCCAGACGTACCCCAGTACCAACAGATTCTGATGAAGGGTGGTGTAGTGACAATACTGCACCCTTTGTGGACAATTTTACAGATACACCAGGCTTGACTGTTCCTGTACCTACCACTGTTCTTAGTTTTATTCAACTCTTTCCGACTCAAAAATTGTTGAAATATATTGCCTATGAAACTAATTTATATGCATCCCAAAGTAAGGCAGGTACTGGGCAAAGGACAAAGCACAGATGGGAACCAGTGACAGTGAAAGAAATTGCCAGATATTTGGGACTGACGATCTTGAGTATTTGCCCGTTGCCAAGACTTAGAATGTATTGGCAAACAGACAGATTCTGGCACCTACCTTGTTTCAACACCTTTATGACTGGTAAACGATTTGAAATGATTGCTAGATATTTTCATGTTTATAACAATAAGTCCATACCACCAGGCCAAGGAGTTGACAAACTTATCAAAGTTCGCTCACTCATGCAATATCTCCTAAATAAATTCAAGACAATATACATTCCCAATAAAAATTTGAGTTTGGATGAAGGGACAATGCCATGGCGTGGCCATCTATCTTTCAAGACCTATAATCCCAATAAACCAGATAAATATGGAATAAAGCTCTACATGCTAGCTGAAGCCAACAGTGGCTACATTTATGATTTTGAAATTTATTCTGGAGTTGGGAAAACGACGATTGACACAGTTATGGGCTTGATTGAACCACTGAAGAACAAAGGTTACCATTTATATATGGACAATTATTACAATTCGGTCAGATTGAGTGAGGCACTGCTTCAAGTAGGGGTATACACCTGTGGTACCCTCACACTGCAGCGTGGTGCACCTAAATCCCTTCAGATGCAAGCAAAGGGTAAAGTGGCAGTAGATAAAACTTTATTCAAACGCAAGGACAATACTTTCATAATTTTGTGGAAAGATAAACGAATTGTTTCACTCATAACAAATTGCCACAATGCAGAAACACAAGAGGTTCAACGCAGAAAACGAGTACGGAATCGTGATGGAACAAGCTCAGTGCAGCAGGTAACTGTCAACAAGCCGAATGTAATCTGTGACTACAATACAAACATGAAAGGTGTTGATCACTTTGACCAAATGATCAAACAATCACTTCACAAGGAAAACTCAAATGGACAAAGAAAATTACCTATTTTGTGCAAATGGCTATCTACAATGCTTTTGTGATGTACAACTACTACACAACAGATAGAAGGAAATTGACATTACTCCATTTCCATGAACAAGTCATTGCTGCACTATTGTTCTATAAGTCTAGTAACTGGCCTGAGGAAGATGATGACATCCCACATGTTGCTGATGTCAATGCCACTGGAGCCAATGTTGCAACACCAGGACCATCAACACCCAGACTTTCAACAGCAGGACCTTCAGGTGTGAGGCGCCCACTATTCACTTCACCTGTACCTGCAGACTTACCTTCATCGTCTGAGTCAGAAGACGAGGCTGTGATTATCCTTAGTGGTGCTTCTGCTGCAACAAGACCCCGTATTGTGGATAATCCAGACCGCCTCAGCAGAAACTTGTCCCATACCCAAGTAAAGATACAGAAGCGTCTGAGGTGTCGTGTGTGCAAATTGTCGGGTAAAAGGAAGGACACACACTATAAGTGCAAGACGTGTGATGTGGCATTGTGTCCTGCACCATGCTACAGCAAATACCATCGAAAGAGAAAATTCTGGGCCGATAAGCAGTAATGCTTGCCCACCATCCACTTCACCTATACAAAACATGGGTTGACCCTGCAGGAAACGTTTCCAGGAGCAGGTGGAGTAGATAAAACAAATGTTCAACCCATGTCATGTTCAACACACAACACTGAGGTGGTAAGTACAAAAAATGTTATTATTTTGTATTTTTTTTTTTTGTTCATACTTTCGCATATTGTACTGGCAACATTGTTCTTCAATTGGCCCTTATATACACATATCCATCTAAAGCATTCTATTAGGAACAATTTCATACCTAAATGAGCGCTGTAACATGAAAATTGAGATTGGCAACAAGTAATAATACTAAACATTTGTGGGCAGGAATTGGGAGTGTAGCTGGAAGGCATCTGGGCGCTCACTCGCAGCTAACGCGTGGCCCGTCTTCAACTCGTCGGCGGTTGGAGCGTGACCAGGTTTTTTATTTTATATGTTAATATTCCTCTAGAGAATTCTATTGCGAACCCATTGATACCAAAATTAAAGACCTAGGACGAAAATTGAGGTTACCAGAGTGAAAAGAGTTAACACATTTTATAGCTTTTGCGCTCTCCTGGGTAACTCATTCGCACTTTCTCCGTTTGCTGCGGGTAATTAGCCGGGCTTTTGGAGTTTAAATGCATTTAGTGCTGTAGAGAATTCTGTTGCGAACACAATGATACCAAATTTAATCTCGTAGGACGAGAACTGAGGTGACAAAGTTGGAGAGTATACACTTTTCAGAATTACCGCGCCCAAACCATGAAACGCTGGGACCCACATCGCATAGTTGAGGGGTGGCGCGCCGGGTGCGCGAAAGTGTTAACTTGTTCCAACCGTCTACCACTCTGTTTACAAAAGAGAATTTTCGTATATTTCTCTGACAGCTTTGTTTCGTTAGTTTAAATTTATGACCTCTTGTTCTTGAAGTACCAGGTCTCAGGAATTCTTCCCTATCAATTTTATCGATTCCTGTTACTATTTTGAACGTAGTGATCATATCGCCTCTTTCTTCTATCTTCTAGTTTTTGCATATTTAATGCCTCTAACCTCTCCTCGTAGCTCTTGTCCTTCAGTTCTGGGAGCCACTTAGTGGCATGTCGTTGCACCTTTTCCAGTTTGTTGATGTGCTTCTTAAGATATGGGCACCATACAACTGCTGCATATTCCAGCTTTGGTCTAATAAAAGTCATGAACAATTTCTTTAGTATTTTGCCATCCATGTATTTAAAAGCAATTCTGAGGTTAGAAAGTGGCTCCTCGCACAATGTTCTTAATGTAGCCATAATCTCTGGAAAGGTTTTTAGTGAGACAAACAAGCAGTGAATCACAACCAGGTCCTAGTGGTATGCAGGCAAAATGTAAGAGAGAGTGTACCCCAGAAAAGTCATCACTGCCGGATGTTATAATGGAAGGGGAGTCCCCTTCCAAACAGTAACACCTCTTCTCCTCCCCCCCATCACCATCTTCCATACGCCATCAAGAGACCTCCATAAAGGTAAGATAAACTTATGTCCTGTATTGTAGTTAGAAAAAACATTGTATTCAGTATAACATGTATTTGTAAGTTAATATTTTGGAGGGTGGGGAATGGATTAATTCAATTCCCTTTATTTCTTATGGGAAAAATCGCTTTGACTTACGATAATTCGACTTACAATCCATCTCTGGGGACGGATTACCATCGTAAGTCGAAGCCCCACTGTAATTAAATGTGTGGAACATCGCTATTCTCAAAAAAATAGATATCATATATGGTGACAAATTATTTACAAGAACCAGTGTTCTTGCTGTTATTATGCTATATACAAACGTTATACTGCAACCCGTTCTCGCACTTTCTTACAGTCAATATTGACTTATTAAATATGTGCATATGTGACATACTAAACATACTAGTTTACCTTGAAAAGCTTCATAAAAAACATTGACCTTACCTAACCTTCTTAGTATGTTAAGATAAGCATCTTATTGCTTCGTAATTACAATTATTACTTAACCTATACCTATAATAGGTTAAGTAATAATTGTAATTACGAAGCAATAAGATGCTTATCTTAACATACTAAGAAGGTTAGGTAAGGTCGGTGTTTTCTATGAAGCTTTTCAAGGTAAACTAGTATGTTTAGTATGTCACATATGCACGTATTTAATAAGTCAATATTGACTATACAAAAGTGCGAGAACGGGTTGCATACTGTATATCACTATCAACATTTATATACACCATAACAAACTAATAAGCAGTTCTGGTGAGTATGGTGATGAAATCAAAACACAACATGGAGCCACAAGCAGACGACACCAGCAGTCACATGATGCAAAACAATGCCTCCAATATTCTAGAACTAGCTACAATATTCTATAACTAATTCAATATTCTATGACTAGCTACAAAACTCATGTTATCATCACATTCCTCTCACAAAATCCCAAATATGAATCCATTTCCATAAGGAAATGGGCATTAGTGAAGGAACATAAGGTAAGTTCATGATGCATAGATGCAGGAAACTGTGGCACGGTATTGTGTCACTACCTCAAGCTGTGAATATCATAACTAACATTGTATTCACTGATATCTGAACATTGTGCACAGTCTATCACAGTCAGAATCATCTCTGACACTATCAATGCAAATAAGTTAAGTTGCCCATTTTAATCATTACTAGGTGGTACAGTGGCCCCTAGCAGCACAGTGGTGCTGTGTGTGGTACAGCACAGTGGTGCTGTGTGTGGTACAGCACAGTGGTGCTGTGTGTGGTGCCTGCATGCACCAGCCTTGGTCGCTCTATCAGTACTAAGGCTCTCACAGCCAGCATGGATGCTGACAATTTTTTTCAAGATGGCATCTGTTTACAGGAGTCCTGAGGCACAGGATGTGAACCCTGTGTACCCACAAAAGTTTTGAATCACTTCTGCATACTCCCTATGTATAAAAACACCACATGGTGCTCTGCACACTCTTGATCCAGCGCCTCAAGATGCTCTGTGCAGTGCAGTGGTTAAAATAAAAATCTAAAGATACCGAGGTCAACCGTTTGTCACAAAAATTTTTAAAATTAACAAAAATTTAAAGCTGATTTTACCTTGACTTTGACTGGCTTATCTTCTTTCTTTTCCTTCTTCTTTGGCTGTGCAACTTGCCTTGCAAATAAATCTACGAATTCTAACTCGTCAAATTCTTCCTCTTCAAGTTCATCCCAGAGCGGTACTTCTGCTATTTTTCTGGAATACGTAAAAAAACAGTGTTGAATGTAATGAAACTCCATTTTCTGGGCGAGACCCTGAGGCTCCATGGAGCTATACCAGGCTGATGTGTATATATAGACTGTGGCCACAGTCAATCTAAGGAGTTCTAAGTCTACTGGGAACCAGAGCCAGAATCTGGTCCCCTCAAGAGAGGCACGAGGAGCAATGGCCCAAAGACACCCCCCGTGTAATTGGATGCAGTCTTTGTCTGCCATCTACCAGGTCAGGCACCCAGAAAGGTAGGAATTTCAAAACAAATTATTGCTGGTCAAAAACAATGCAAACCGAAAGCCGAAAAAGCAAACAGAACTCCCCAATCAAAAACCTGGAAACAAACATGATGTTATCTTGAGGTTATCTAGAAATGATTTTGGGGCTTTTTAGTGTCCCTGCAGCCCGGTCCTCGACCAGGCCTCCACCCCCAGGAAGCAGCCCGTGACAACTGACTAACACCCAGGTACCTATTTTACTGCTAGGTAACAGGAGCATAGGGTGAAAGAAACTCTGCCCATCGTTTCTCGCCGGCACCCGGGATTGAACCTGGGACCACAGGATCACAAGTCCAGCGTGCTGTCCGCTCGGCTGACCGGCTCCTGTGGTGTGACGTCACCACAACCGCCGCGCATCCGTCTGCACAACCCCCTCCCTTCCCCAGGAGGATGGGTCCCAGACCTCCACGCCGGCAACTCTCCTCAGTTCAGAGGCTGAGTATCAAAAACGTGAAAAACCGTCGACCAGAGGGGAGGGAGGGAGAGATGCCGGGAAGCCTCCGGGTTTCACCCAGAAAATGGCGTTTCATTACATTCAACACCGATTTTCTGTGGAGAGACTCTTCGGCTCCCTGGAGCTACCTAACCAAAGATAAGTCAAAAAGGGACTCGCCTGGGAAGCGGTCAACACTCGCTCTTCAACTCAAAGTCGAGACAACAGGCCGCAACCTGCGACCCAAGGCTATACACACCCGAGAAGGACTAGGAACATTAACAAGGTAACGTGCAGCCAGGACCCTGTTCGACCTCCAAAAGCCCCCGTGCCCAAAAGATAGGCCAGGACATTACCTAAACAGCACCCGAATACCGAACTTAAGAATGGCGAGGGCACGGGAAAAGACCGCAGGCTGCCTGGCCCGAATAATCCTGCTTACAACCTGGGAGACCCGCGCCCTGGAATAGGGAAGAAGGGAAACTGGGTCAACCCAAAGCGCGTCCTCTGCCACAGAGTCCGTAACGCTCAAATAATGGCGAAGAGCCATAAGCAGACACAAAACATGATGCACCCCCGGCCGAACCAACCAAGCATCAACAACCCAAGGATCCCTTCTGAAAGCAGCAGACTCATTCTTCACCAGAAAAGAAGGAGACGGTTGCAATCGAAGAAGAGACCACCAGGAATGAAATAGCAGAAATCCCTGCGCGGAAGAGAGCATGAAACTCTTCGACCCGACCCCCAGAGGCCAATGCCAACAAGAAAAGAGTCATAGAAAAACAGTCCTGAACCGATAGGGCCACCCCAAACCGAGGAGAAGGGAGAAGGCAGCACCCAGTGCAACGACCAGGACAGCTCAGGCGGCACATGAGCAGGCCGGAGATAAAAACAACGCCCGAGAAAGCTTGCGGAACAAAGCAGAAGTGACATCCATCCCAAATGCAAGCTGCAGCGGCTCCACCAGCGCCACCCAAAACGAGGCGACAGTATCTGGCATAAGAAAACTGTCCTGAAACAACCAAAAGAGAAAGGACAAAAGAACCTATGGAGAGACAAGTGCTAAAAAGACCACCAGGAAATTTCATACTGCCATCAAGACAAAACTTGCAGGTGGGACACTAAGCCACCTGATCACCATACAAGTGGTAATAAACCCACGGTAAAAAGACCAGACGAGAGAAACAGAGATTGAACCAGCCACGTACCGGAATGGACCAATCTGCTTACGAGGCGGAGCCGCGGGAAGACCCTCGGGTTCGGACGTCAAGCAAGAAGTGCCTGTAACCAGGGCTGGCCGGTGCCTCGACCAAGTCGATGCGAAGAGGTCCACCTCTAGGTGCCTGTATGTTTGGCAGAGCCAACTGAACGAGTCTGTGTCGACCGTCCATTCCATGGATAGGGGAATGAACCGAGACAGGCCATCCACCAGGACGTTTGACACCCCCTGAATGTGAACCGAAAGGAGAGCCAAACCCCGAGAACTTGGCAAACGAGTCACCTGAAGCGACCAGCCCCACTAAGCCAAGGAACGCATCAAACCCCCGAGGTTCAGACAATGAACCACCGGGGAGCAGTCCGAATGGAGCCAGATCATTGCTCCACGAGCAACACTAACCCTCTGAAGTGAATGCCACACCACTGCTAACTCCTGTGCCGTGCTGTGAACCCGATGGAAGGACGGACCCCACTGACTCTTACCGGCCCGGTGAGCACTAGTCACAAAATTCCAGCCGAGAGACAAGGCATCCGTGAACACATTAAGCGAAGGCTCGGGAAGGCGTCAGGGCATAGAACCCCGAAACACCCTCCACAGTGATCACAAGTGCAGCAAAAGGGACACCCCTGAAGAAACCAGAACATCCTCTGAAGCCAGATCCGACCTGACGGGTAGACCAGCACGGCCAAGATCAGGCTCCCGCACTGCCGCCAAAACAACCGACGTGTGACCCGGGTTCCCTCCAAAAACAGTCATAAGTGGGACCGCAGCAACGCCACCAGAGGGAGAGACAAGGAAGCGGTCCGAGAGTTGCACACAAGATCCAGTCCAGTCTGAACCTGAGAGGGAACCAAATGGGACTTCTTCCAGTAGACCAAGAACCCGAACCCGGCGAGCTGGTAAAGAACTAAATCCCTGGCGAGCAGACACGCAGATTGGCTGGGAGCCCACACCAGCCAATTGCCGAGTTAAGCCAGAACTCAAACATGTCACCATGACCCGGGTAAGGCATGTGGACACATGAGGTGCCAAATCCAAACTGGATGGAAGGCAACGAAAGCAGGAAGTCTGTCACTCCACGACAAAGCCGAGCCAGTCCCAGAACACTGGATGAATCGGGACATGCTAATATGCATCCCGGAGGCCCAGAGACACCATCCAGTCACCTGGCACCAAAAGCAGCCGGACCCGAGACAGAGTGGTCATCTGAAAGGAGGGGCAAAAGACCCAGGGGATCAGACGGGACAAGTACAGTATGATTCGCAGATCTGCCCAGTCCCGTTTTGGAACTGAAAACAGGGGGGAAAACCCACTCCAGGATGACCTGACCGAGCACAAGGGAAGAGGCCCGCCCCACAAGTTCCAATCCCCCCCGAAGGAGAAGGAAAGAAGCAACGCCACCGCAGACTGGAGGAAAATGACCCGAATTGCCCACAAATCGTGGGACCAGGCGAGAACAAACAGCGTGAGCCTCCCCCCTACCGCCCCGCCAACAGGGCGAACCACGAAAGGGCCAACGACCCCTACGAGACCCCCCCGACTGACGCTCAGAGCGATCACTGAGCCAACAACTATGTATGAGGGCCAGGCCCGAATCTGGCACTACTGGCTTACGACAACCGAAGGAACCCCGAGACCTGGCACGACTCTTCCGAGCAGGACCTCCACGGCCCCCCAAGAGAACCAAGAAGTCCAACATAGGCCGTCAACAAGACGAAGCCGCCTGCGGAAAATGCACCACTGCAGACTGCAAACAGTAACGGACAAAAGGGGATGAAAATCTAAAAGCCAGGGCCCAAGACGATTAAAAAAAAAAGGACGAGCACCAACTGTCAGCACGCGAGGCGAGAAGCGAAGAACAGACACCGCCTCCCTCAGAAACAGCGCATACAACTTCACCAAGGCAGCCGGTGCCCGAGCTGCCGAAGCAAGCACACCGGACACAGGCCCGGAAACCAGCTCCTCCTCCACCTACCACGAGCCAGTCCGTAGACAGCTCCAGCAGGGAAAACACGCACAAGACCGAAGCCAAGTGCCCACAGGCGCACATATCCTTGGTCATCAGGGATTCCGAAAGGGAGGGAGGGAACCTGCACGTGAAGACGCACCTGGCCGACATCATAAGGAAGGAACGGAGCGAACAAGCACGCCTTGAGGTGCTCCAACTCACCTTCAAGAAAACCTGAACAACCATAGGCAACTCTCGCCATTCAAGTGCGCATTCCGACAGGACAAATGCATAGCCCCCAAAGAGGAAAAGGCAGTCTGCCAGCCAGGAAGACTCCGGCATCTTGTAACGCACCTAATAAAGAAAAAGAGGAGCCAAACTCAAAAAGGCTTCATTATCGTGGCGTAATCCAGGTCTTGCAGGAGGTAAGCCGCAATGGGCCTCCCACAACTTCCTCAGTGGGATGCGGGAAGCCAAAAACCTCCAGAAGAAGGGAACCAAAGAACCCAAGGGAACTCGGACCCAAACCCGGGAAGGAGTCGAACTCGTAACAAAAACGTACAGGGAGGGGGAAAGGAAAACCCCTCCCTCTGCAACAAGCAGCCCCGCACCGAGGGTACCAAACACCCAAGCAGGGACCAGTGGGGGGCCAGGGCCCCCCCCACCCAAGTCAACTCTCCCTAGCCCCGGAATCCTCCACGTCAGGGCCAAGCCGTCCTCCAAACCCTCTGCCTCTGGAGAAAAAGCAGAGTCCACTGGAAAAGCAGGGATGAAAGGGGCCCACTGGCGTGGCCCAAAAGCTCCGGCAGGAGGACCTGACTCAAATGCCTCTGCCGCCGATCCAGAAGGGGGTATCCCCGAAGCCACCCGAGTCTCACTACCAGTAAATACAGAGGCGCAGCTGCCGGGCATCCAGAAAGGCAACCAACCTCGCACGTTGCTGCAATTTAAACCTTGCATGCAACGCTAAAGCTGCCTGCACCCAAATATCAGTCTCAGTGGACTGGGTGAATGGAGTACAAGCAAACACCACCACTGGCAGGACTCCGCATCATAGGAGTCACTGACTAACAAGAAGCAAGGCGGAGGCAGACGGTGAGTGTCATC